CTCCCATTAAAGGTGAATCGCTGTTTGGAATTCTCTTTCCTCCTGCCCTTTGAGGAATCTTAAGTCAAATCTCTCCTCCCATCTTTATTATTTATTTGTGAGACAGGGTATTTATTTATTTATTTATTTATTTTTGAGATAAAGTCTTGCTCTGTTGTCCAAGCTGGAGTGCGATGGCATTATCAGGGCTCACTGCAGCCCCGACTATCTGGGCTAAGTGTGATCCTTCTACCTCAGCCTCACACATAGCTGGGACTAGAGGTGTGTGCCAGCATGCCCAGTTAATTTTTTTTTTAATTTTAGTAGAGACAAGGTCTTGCTATGTTGCCCAGGCTAGTCTCAAACTCCTGAGCTCAAGCGATCCTCCCTTTCAAAGTGCTGGGATTACAGGTGTGAGCCACCACGCCCGGCTATCTCTCATCTTAAAAGGGAAAAAAAAGTACCCCATTTCCCTGCTCTAGCTATTTTATTAAAATAAAAGCCAAACCATCCTGATTTCCATTTCTTTTTTTTTTTTTTTTTTTGAAACAGAGTATTGCCCTGTCGGCCAGGCTGGAGTGCAATGGCTCGATCTCTGCTCACTGCAACCTGCACCTCCGGGGTTCAAGCGATTCTCCTGTCTCAGCCTCCTGAGTAGCTGGGATTACAGGTGCCCGTCACCACACCCGACTAATTTTTGTATTTTTAGTAGAGACGGGGTTTCACCACGTTGGCCAGGCTGGTCTCGAACTCCTGACCTCAGGTGATCTGCTCATCCTGGCCTCCCAAAGTGCTGGATTTACAGGAGTGAGCCACTGTGCCCAGCCTGATTTCCATTTCTCTCGCTTCAGTGAAACAGCTCTTACTGAGGGCACCGCAGGCTTCCAATGGCCATTTTGCTCAATTCTGGTTTCATCTAACCTCTCAGCAATTCCTGACAATGCTGACACCTCCTCACTGTTGAAACTTCCTCTTCCTTGGGCAGTCTCTAGTTTTACCTCTATCTCACTGGCCACTCATTTTCAGTATCCTCAACTACCTTGGAAACGTTGGGAACTCATCAGGGCTTAGACCTAACGTACTTCTCACTCTCCCTAGGCAATCTCATCTACACTCATTTCCTCCATTACCATCTACATACCCATGTTTCTCAAAATTATGTCTAATATAGTTAAGTTCCCCATTTTGGTCAGCACCTCAATTTAGAGAGATTGACCAAAACTTTAGCCATTGACACCACTCTCTGTCACCATCATAAAGACTTATTTGGTCTCAGTATGGAACTCACAAGTCATCTTTAGTTTCGCTAGGAGTCTCACACGTCTCTTTGGTGTTAACAGGGAATTCACAAGTCGCAGCTTTGTACCAGCTAAATGATTCTTTATGTTCTTGCTGATCCAGTTGGAGCAAGACCATTCAACTGTCAATGTATAGCTGCATACAAAACATTTAAGACTTGAGGGTATACAGCATGCCAAGGGAACTATTATTGTGACTATTAAGAGGATACCATCAAAATGCCAACGCGTACTCCTTGTTGTTATTCAAAAACAGCAATCAAAGAACAATAGAAAGTGTACAGAATTAAACATGTCTTTAAGAGTTTAATAAATGTTTTTAAAAGTTCATGGAAATGAAAGTTGCACTACTCAGTGCTAGGTGCCCTCTAAAAGGAAAAATAAAAATAAAAAATTTAAGTTGCCACCTAATGTGGTGGCTCACGCCTGTAATCTCGGCATTTTGGGAGGCCAAGGTGAGACGATCACCTGAGCCCAGGAGTTCGAGGCCAGCCTGGACAAGATGGCAAGACCCTGTGTTAAATAAATAAATAAATAAATAAAGTTGCAATGGCCAGTATTAAAAAAAATCAACAGTAAAACCATAAAATGAATTAAGGAAATTTCCTAGGACATAAAAAGCAAAGAAAAAAGGTGAAAAACATAAAAGGAAAGTTAAGTTATGCAGAGATGTAGGAATGTGGTATCCAAAGGGAGCGGGAGGATGGGGGCGGAAGGCATCCCGTGGGATGAACAACAGGATCTACTGGAATTCAGGAAGAAAGTACTGAAGCTTCTAGATGCAGTATGTTTTGTATCTTATCCTTTAAGATTATGTTAGGGTTGACTTACAATGTAAATAATTGGTACAGATACATATATAATTTAAAAATAAAAAAGTGTGCATACATACATAGGGTACATGTATGCTTTTCCTTTTAACAGACGATGAGTAAAGGTCTTATTTTGGAAATCACGGACATAACAGATCAATCTAAGAGGACCACTATCCACCTAAGAGATGTCTAGAAAGAAAAAGAACAGGAAAAATGAAAGGAAGAAAATAAAAAAATAAGAGAAAAAAACTTCTCAGAAATGAAGAAAGATAAAGGGAAAGGCCCATTGAGTGAGCCAAGTCACATGAGTAGCAAAAGAAAAGAAAACCAAACCCACATCTGGTCCAAGCCTTGAGAAATTTAGGATAATGGATAAAGACCCTAAGAGGTTCCGTGAAGGGAAAAACAAGATAATCATGAAGACGAAAAAATCAGATTGTCATGAGAATTCTCAGCAGCACCAAACACTTACATTAGAAGAAAATGTAGCAATGCCTTTACAGTTCTAAAGGAAAAGAATTTTGAATATAGACTCCAATATTCAGTCAAAACCAAAAATCAAATATGATGCAAAATAGGTTTCCCCTAGAAATCAACTACTCTCTTGTTCAATGACCATCACTTTTAATCAATATATCATTTCCTGATAAGTAATTCTTTTAAAAATAATTTTACACAAATTATTTATTGCACCCAAATAAATGTTAGTATTGATCTTTTCACATGTCCATGAGCACGCATTTATATATGTATGTCAAAAAAAAATGCTTATGCTCTCATCTGTTAGGGAGCAGGAATTTAACTGTATGCTTTCACAACATGCAAAGGAACGATAGCAAAAGACAGATTCCAGAGTTTGGGGCTTCTGGTTTCCCACATCTCTACTTCTTTAGGTAGCTAAACTGTGCCACCACCAGGAGACATTTTTAAGCCATGACTCAATAGTATCCATGGTAACTTTAGAAATAATTTAGCCCAATGACATCCAATTAAATAAATACCACTTACAAATCAGTGTGTTTTAAAATTCCATCTTTGTAGTTCTTCCTATACACCTTAATTGCTCCAACAGAGAATGCTGTCTTCTGCAGTCTTTTCTCTTTTTATTTAAAGAAAATCAGATACGTTTCCCCGCTAAATATTGAGAAGTAGAAATGCAAAGGTTGTAAATAACTTACTTTAATACCAAGGGCTGTGAACTTACTCAAAGACTAAAATTCCGTGAGATTAAAAATACCTATGCAATAATTCTAATTAACACCGTTAACTATTGTATCTCGTCTAGTTCTGCATTTTGGACTCCAGTATATAAAACAAATTGGGCCGGGTGCGGTGGCTCACGGCTGTAATCCCAGCACTTTGGGAGGCCGAGGAGGGTGGATCACATGAGGTCAGGAGTTCCAGACCAGCCTGGCCAAAATGGTGAAACTCCGTCTCTACTAAAAATACAAAAATTAGCCAAGCGTGGTAATGGGCGCCTGTAATCCCAGCTACTAGGGAGGCAGAGACAGGAGAATTGCTTGAACCCGGGAGGTGGAGGTTGCAGTGAGCGGAGATTGCGCCACTGCACTCCAGCCTGGACGACAGAGCGAGACTCCGGCTCAAAACAAAACAAAACAAAACAAAACAAAACTAACAAATACATTCCATTCCTTATAAACACGATAAATTATCTACAACACTTAAAAAGGTCTGGAAAAAATTCAAGGCAAGTGTTTAGAAGTTAATTCAGGAAAACCACGTTTTTCCAATTTTGCTTGATGCATATTACTTCCTACCAAATGCCTTCAACAATGAGCTAAGCTTGAAGGTATCTAAGGATATTAGAACAAAAGTTCCTATAAAATCCAATTTAAACTCATTACAATGCATATAGTAACCCACAGAAATGAAAAGATTTCTATGATTTTCTTTTTAGAATTAAACCAGCCCAGGGCAACAATGATTGAACGGTGGTGCCACGTTCACCACCTTGCATCAAAAAGCAAGTCTCCCTCTCTACACACTGAAACAAGCTGCTATAGAAAGGGCATCTCGAATCACCACCTCTGACACCGTGTGCGTCACTGCTCTAGTTCTGACTCCTATCAGCGGGCTAGGGAAAGAGACGGACGCCCCTTTACCCGACAGAAGAGCCCAGGTACCTGAAGATGCAATGTACGCATGGCGTGGAAATGGAAGAAAAAGAAGACAGCGAGAGTTAGGAGAAATGTGGAGAGAGGTGACTCATGGACAGAGCCAAACCTGGCATGGAGAGAACAGAAAAAAGGCAACCAGAGACAGACAGAACACTGAGGACACAAGAGTCTAAAGGGCAGAGACAAAAGGACAATAGAGACAGGCCAAGACCGAGAGGCGTCCAGAATTTTCGGGTTGGATAGGGCCAGAGACAAGGGCCAGAATTGAAGCCGGCTCCGAACGTAGGCCCAGGCAGGGCTCCTGTCATTCTGGGTCCTTAAGAACATCTGGGAATTCTCCAACTGCGCTCGGCCTGGCCTGAGAGTTATCTGCACATTTTGGACATAGAGATAAGACAACCCCACTCTCAAGAGGCCCCAGAATTAACAGGGCCAGATTAGAGCCTGCACTTACCAGGCCACAGCGGCCCGACGTAGTCGCCACATCCCGCCAGCGGGGAGGTCACGCAGGCGCCGAGACGGCCACGCGGGAGCCCCCGTGTGAGCCCCAGCCCGGCTCCCGGTCCAGGAATGACCCAGGAAGAGGCGTTCAGTAGCAAGGGCACAGAGCCGCGGCACAGGCCCTCCCAATGGCGCATGGACTTCCGCAAGAGCCTGACAGGCACCCGTACTCAGTCCGTCACGGAAACAACCACTTCACCCTTTCTAGGAGAGCAGCACGAACGGTCCGCGGGGGACTAGCGCATGCGCATAGTGCATCGGGAACGGACTGGCGCAATCCATCGCCTGTCACGTGGCCCCGCCCTCTTGCTTCCGGTTTGGAATTCAGAATTAGCCTTGAGGGTTGGAGATTTGGGCAGGGGAGGGAACGAGAGTTGGGCGGGGACGGGAAGGGCTAAAGGCGTGGAATCGGAAGTGGTGAATGCTCACCGGGAGCCATGAATTTATTAAGAGTTGGATATTGAGGGAGCACGAAGGAAACGAAGCACGAAGCACGAAGGAGAGTGCAAGGTGAAATACAGTAATAGATTAATACAAACTAATTCTTGCACATTTGCCTACCTTCTTTGTTGGGCATCTTTGTTTGAAAGCACTTTCACATTCTGCGGGCAATCTTGGGAGGTGAGAAGCAAGAGGAAGAGTCGTGGATAGGCCAAGTCCCTTAGAATCTCTGAGGATCAGGTCGGAAAGGGACTTCACTCAATTAGGCCAGTAACGGGTTTGGAATAAGCTTGTGTAGTTTATAAAAGGCATCAAAATGATTTGTTCATTAACTGTTTAAACAAACTTTTTTCTGGATTTTAAGCCCATCAGTTTGTTGAAATGGTCCTCGTCAAGGCCTCCGCCAGCTCCCTATTGTTTGTGGCCACTGAGCCTGCCGCAGCATTCAGCTGAGATGCCAGTGCTGAGCACTCCTTCAGCCACTTTTTCTCTTGGCTCTCTGGATGTCACGTTCTCCTTTTTGTCCGGAACTGCTGCTCCCAGGCCCCTTTGCTGGCTCCCCTCCCAAATTTCTGAATGTTGGACAGGCCCAGATGTCAGCCAGCCATCTTGAGCTCCTCTCCCTCTCTATCTGCATTCTCTCCTTCGGTAATGTAAGTCGGCTTCATGGCTTTAAATGCTCCTTTTCCTTTCCAACACAAACCTTTTATGTTTTAAAGGGAAACTAGAGCCCATAAAAGGGATGCGGCCTGTGAAAGGTTAGGAAGCCAAGTTTTAGGGACTAAAATCAAAGGGTCCTGTGCATCCTTTTTACTTCAGGCACTTTTCATCTCCTCCTTGCTACCCACCCCACGCCCAACCCACCCATGCCACACACATACACAAATACACAGAGCATACAGAAAATTCCTTTTCCTATCACCAAGTGTAGACCTAGTCGTTGGCAGAACAATTCCCTAATGCGGGACTCCTGGAATTTTCTTTGTTTATTGTGGTGACTGTTTCAATGGCAGGTCCAGTTAGCAACTTGCTGTACCCCCCTATGCAAACTGTAGATCTTCCTGGGATTGTAGGCTTGTACAAATAGTGTCTTTGTAATCATTACTTCCTTGTTATTTTAGAAAATAAGAGAAACCAAAAGACTTGAACAACAACAACAAAAAAGAAAAATTAAGGATAAAAGACTTTAACCACAAAAAAAGGAGAAACTTACCTCCATCACCATTTATATGTGGTTATCATTATGTTTTATGAAGCCCTTGTTTTGCAATTCTACTTCTAGGCATTTATCCTGTGGAATCATTCCCACATATGCAAAGATGTATGCATGATGATGTTTATTTCTCTACTGTATGAAATGGCAAAAGATTGGAATCAATATAAATGTCCATGTATAGAAACTAGACAATAAATTACATCCATACTAGCCATGAAAACCTATGCTTTAGGTCTGTATGTCCTGATAACGAATAATCTCCCATATATACATAGTATTGCCATGAGAAGAGGGCAAACTGTTGTATAACAAAACTGCCACCATTGGACCAAATTCAGCCCACAGACCTGTTTTGATTGAACGGTGTTGGCCTATCCGGTGTTTTTAAAATAGTACTACGTTTGGGCCGGGCACAGTGGCTCATGCCTGTAATCCCAGCATTTTAGGAGGCCGAGGCAGGCAGATTGCAAGGTCAGGTATTTGAGACCAGCTTCGCCAATATGGTGAAACTATGTCTCTACTAAAAATAAAAAAATTAGCCAGCTGTTCAGGAGGCTGAGGCAGAAAAATCACCAGTCTGGGTGACAGAGTGAGATCACCAGCCTGGGAGACAGAGTGAGACTCCATCTCAAAACAAAACAAAACAAAAACTACATTTGTTGCCAAAATAAAAATCAAGAAATTTCACATTTTAAAAAAATCATAAAAATATCAGGACTCCTAACAACATCAACCTTCAAATCTTACATACAAAAAATGTCTTGGAACCAGGAGCCAAGTAGTAGTTTTATCCTTCAGGCACTCATGTCCTCTCCAGTAGGTCAAACTCCCTCATCTTTCCGAAATTGAACACATCAATTGCTATTTATCATGAAGCTTGTGCTTCTACTTTTCTTAGTAAAAATCAAGAGGAAAGGGAACTACTACTTGTATTGAAACTGCCTTGGCAAAATTATGACAAGAGGAATCTGACATAGTTGACTCCATCTTCCTTCTGACCTCCAAGCTGTCCTTGGTCATTCCTGGACTTAAGCCAATTGAACTTTGGGGAGGAATGTAGTTTATAGTTTAACTTGGAAGAAAGGATTATAATAGCCGCTTCCTAAAGCTAACTACCTCCTTGCTCAGGGACCAAAAACCACCTTTGTAAGAAAGGCCAAGAGAATAGGATCATGAGAGGGGCCTGAACTGTGCTAAGATGTAGGTGTAGTTTCTATAGTCCCTTACTGCTCAGGAATCAATGTGGCCAGAGGTCACAAGATTTGTGACTTCCCCAATTGCTCCTATAGATAACATTACTATAGAATCTAGGACTGTTATTTTTTGCGGTATCTTTCAGACTCACCCCATAGAGACTTATGACTCATGACTCAGGTGATCCTGTGGCCCCACTCAGAGGTGGACTCAGTACACAGGGAATGTTCTCCTATTATTTCATCCCCAACCAGTCAGCAGCACCCATTCCCTACCCCCTTGCCCACTACATTGTCCATAAAAACCCCTAACCTCAGAACCCTCAGGGAGAGTGATTTGAGTGATAACTCCATTCTCCTGCGTAGGCTGGCCTTGAATCAATTAAACTCTTTTTCTATTGCGATGCCATGGTCTCAGTGAATGGATTTTGTCTGTGCAGTGAGCAGGAAGATCCTGTTGGATGGTTACAATATCAAAAGTGAGAGAAAATGAAGGACTGAGAGGGTCAGCCATTTCCAAAATAAGGAGAAAGAGTGGTTTTTTTTTTGTTTTGTTTTGGCAAAAGAACACAAGTATGCAAGTAAATCATATGATGTTGAAAGAATACAATTTAATATGACATTATACAACAGACACACTTGCATTACTCATTTATGTTACATATCTAACCCACGGAAACATTGGAGCTGATAAGTCCTAGTGAAGGGCAGAGTCAAGGAAGGTCTTGAAGATAGTGGTTCATGAGTCGGAGGGAGACTTACATATATTGTAAACCCTTTCGTACTCTGAACTTGTGTATTAATTACTTGTAAAAACATGTTAAAATATTTTTCTGATCCAGAAGTCATGAAATAATTTTACTACGTTAGACTAAAATTTTATGTTCAGCTAGGAATTGAGCAATTCACCAGGTAAAACTCAAACTATTTACCTTAGCAGGAAAAGGGACCCTTTCAGAATTATCCAACAAATCAGAAATTTTCAGAAAGGAAGGTAATGAGAGATATGAATGGAAATGGAAATATTTAAAATTGATTTCATAAGTTTTATATTTACATTTTTACAGAAAAGCTTTTGCAAAGTTCTTCCTGGGAGATCTCCAAGTTCCTTAACACTGTACTCTTCCTCTGTGGTTTCCTGGAGAAGCCAACAATTAGCTGCAGTTACACATATTTGCACCATCATCATTATCAAACTCTCCCCATCCCTCAGAAAAGCATGTTATAATCCTCATTAACAAACATTTACGGTCGCTTCCTATGAACCCTAGTCTGAGGATATATACATATAATTTTTTTTTTTTTTTGAGACAGAGTCTCGCTTTGTCGCCCAGACTGGAGTGCAGTGGTGCAATCTCGGCTCACTGCAACCTCCACCTCCCGGGTTCAAGTGATTCTCCTGCCTCAGTCTCCTGAGTAGCTGGGATTACAGGTGCATGCCACCTCGCCTGGCTAATTTTTTGTACCCTACAAACACTCCAGGCTGGAGTGCAATGACGTGATCTCAGCTCACTGCAACCTCTGCCCGCTGGGTTCAAGTGATTCTCCTGCCTTGGTCTCCTGAGTAGCTGGGATTACAGGTGCCTGCCACCACACCCAGCGAATTTTTTTGTATTCTTAGTAGAGATGGGATTTCACCATGTTGGTCAGTCTGGTCTTAAATTCCTGACCTCAAGTGAGCCACCTGCCTTGGCCTCCCAAAGTGATGGGATTACAGGCATGAGCCACTGTGCCTGGTCAAAACTGATAATGTTTTAACAAACAGTAACAAAGTTTGTGAATTTGTGTTCAGCTGCATTCAAAGCCATCCTGGGCTGCATGCAGCCTGCAGGCTGCAGGATGGACAAGCTTGATTTAGAGCATCCATTTGTATGATACTCTAGACCAGGAAAAATAGATATGGAGAGCGGGGAGGAACATTGGGGAACTTTCTAGAAACATGGAAACGTTCCATATCATGATAACAGTCTTGGTTACATGAACACATCCATTTGTCAGAATGGATAGTGAAGATTTGTTCGTTTAAAATTTTAGATTTGTATATGTACATTTTACATTTTAAAAAAACTATGAAGAATGATTACATGAGGAGGATGGGAAGTGGGTAGGGGTTAGATGAAGGAAGAATCACAAAAGGTTAATAACCATGGAAGGTGGGCAGTGGGTATATGAGAGTTCATTATACTTTTCTGTTCACTTTGCATGTATTGAAAGTTTACATTATAAACATTTTAAAATGTATCTTTTTTTGTTAAAAAAAAAGATACAAAGAAGCATACAGAAGAAAAATGAAATGGACCCAACAGAAGATAGCCTCTTTAGTATAGAGATGAGGAGCAGAAGGTGAGCATAAAAGGCAAAGAGCCTTGTGTGCTATGTGGAATTTATTCCGGCTTGTGTTCATTTCCTATTGCTGCTATAACAAATTACCCCAAATTAGTGGCTTAAAACAGAACAAATTTATGATCTTATAGTTCTGAAGGTCAGAAATAAGAAATGGGTCTCTAGGGAAGAATCCTTTTCTATTTTTCCTTTTCCATTTTTGAGAGGCTGCCCACATTTCTTTGCTTGTGCCTCATTTCTGTCTTCAAAGCCAGCAGTGACTGGTCAAATCTTTCTAACACCACATCACTCTAATGCTAACCCTTCCACCTCTGCTTTCCACATGTAAGCATCCGTGTGATTTGATCAGCCTACCTAGATAATCAAGGATGATCTTCCTATTCTAAGGTCAACTGGTCAGCAAACTTATTTACCGTTTGCCATATGCACAGCTTCTGGTGAGGATTCAGACTTCTTTGTGGGGAGATTCTGTGTAATGATTTATCTCTGATATGGAATGTGTTAGTGTGATGGGGTGGGGAAAGGGGAGGAAAGAATCAGTTTATACAGCCACACCTGGAACTAGCTGTAGTTTTAAAATTGTACTTCTAATCGTTGTTTAGAAATCCTCTATGTTTAACATTTTTTTAAAAAACTATTTTTATACCTTTTCTGGAATCTACTGCATGTCAGAAATTTCATTTTGTTTTGCAGTGACACTTTTGCCTTTTCCTGCTTTTTAAGTAGTTTTAAGGATTTACTCTTGAATTGTAAAACTTGAAATATTTCCTTTACTTATTTGTATTGCTTACTGTGCTTGTATCTTAGAGGTCATCTTTCATTATACTGAAGATGCCAACTTATTGTCTGATTTTTTTTCTTGTCCCTGTAATAAATTCAGAGATACAATCTTCCTTTGGATCTTTCTATTATAACAACTATTATGATTATATGCATAGTAAATACTGATTTAGTGTGCCAGGTACTAGGCTACTCCTCTACATATGAGATCTCCTTCTATTATTTGATACAATATTTTTTACAGCTATCATCTTGTTTTTTCTTGTCATCCTGCTATTTATTTATTTATTTTATTTTATTTTTGTTTTTTGAGATGGAGTCTCACTCTGTCGCCCAGGCTGGAGTGCAGTGGTGCGATCTCGGCTCACTGCAACCTCCGCCTCCCGGGTTCAAGCGATTCTCTTACCTCAGCCTCCCAAGTAGCTGGGATTACAGGCGCCCACCACCACTCCTGGCTAATTTTTGTATTTTTAGTAGAGATGGGGTTTCGCCATGTTGGCCAGACTGGTCTCGAACTCCTGATCTCAGGTGATCTGCCTGCCTTGGCCTCCCAAAGTGCTGGGATTACACGCTTGAGCCACCGCACCCAGCCCCTCCTTTATTTTTATGTAGTAAAGTATGTATTGACCATAACTATGCCCTTTAATTCTACTCCAGAGTGATTATTCCTTTATGATTCTGGCTAGAGGGTTTTCATTGTTATACATATATATATTATATATAAAATATATACATATATTATTAATATATACATATATTGTAAGTATATAGATATATATAGGTATATATTATAAGTATATACATATATACATATACACATATATGTGTATATACTTATATGTATAAATAAGTATATACATGTATATACATACAGTGTATATATGTATATACAGTATAGTATATATGTATATATAATATAGTATATCTATTATATATAGTAGATATGTATATATTATAAGTATATACATGTATACATTATATGTGTGTATATGTATGTAAAAGTATACATATGGCCGGGCGCGGTGGCTCACACTGTAATCCCAATACTTTGGGAGGCTGAGGCGGGCGGATCACAAGGTCAGGAGATGGAGAACATCTTGGCCAACATGGTGAAACCTCATCTCTACTAAAAATACAAAAATTAACTGGGCGTAGTGGTGTGCGCCTGTAATCCCAGCTACTCTGGAGGCTGAGGCAGGAGAATCATTTGAACCCTGGAGGGGGAGGTTGCAGTGAGCCGAGATCATGCCAGTGCACTCCAGCCTGGGCCACAAAAGCAAAACTCTGTCAAAAAAAAAAAAAAAAAAAAAGGCATACTCAGAAATCATTTGAACTCTGGAGAGAGGTTGCAGTGAAGCTGAATATATGATCACTCAATATGCTAAACAAAACTCTGTCGAGAAAAAAAAAAAAAAGGAAAAAGAAAGAAAGTATAAATATATAAAGTGTATGTGTATTATATATATGATAAAGGCTTTTCAGCTATTTTGTATCAGTAAAAAAAAAAAAAAAAAAAAAAAAGGAAAAAGAAAAGAAAAGTATAAATATATAAGTGTATATGTATATATTATATATATATGATAAAGTCTTTTCAGCTATTTTAGTATCAGTTAGAAAAACTGTGCCAGGGATTGCTAATCTAATACGTTACTGGCTACGAACATGTGGCCCCATTGTCAGCGTTCACACTGAAGCCTTGCTTCAGCTGTACCAACTCCTGAAGTGAGATACATTCTCGATTTATGTTATGTTTTCCAGACTTCTCTCTTCTGTCCTCATTGAAAAGGCAGCCAGCTTTTGTAACCTTGCCTTGGGGATGTTAGCAGGAGAAATGTTGGCAATTCAAGGCTCTTCTGGTTTTATAAGAAAACCAGGTTTTGCTGGGAGGCCTGGAGTAGAAGAGAGGGCCTCGGAGAAGCAAAAATGGGAGGAGACATGCCTAGAGATCAGGAAGAGGTAAGTGTTTTCCCTTCAGTGTCCCTTCCTAACACTCTCTTGAGAGGTTTCAGGCTCCTAAATAATTCATGCCACCTAAACATAATCAGATTCATCAGATTCGAAGAGATGAGGAGTGCTAGAAATTTGGGGGACTTCAGGGATTACCTGTGACTACTAAGCATAAAGAACTATTTTCTATGCACTTGGTTCTTTCGTCCGTTACGTTTGTATGGTGGAAACACTATACATATAATGAGGTACTACTGCACCTCTCTTTCTAACTCTGTGCAGTGACATGTGGCTGCTATAGCTTGAAACTAGTTATGGTGGCAGCATTTCCACCGTAGAAATCAGCACACACTACAAATCAGGGCTTGATTTGTTTTTTGTTGATTATCTAATCTTAAGAAAGTGATGGAAAAACATAATACTACAGATTAAATTTTAAGGGTATTCTGTCTGTGGTTTTACATTGTGAATAACAGAGAATTGAGAAAATATTCTCTCAGTGTTTGAAAACTATTATCTAATGCAGTAAAGAAGTCTTGCACATCTTCATTAATTTAAATTTTCCTAATGTACGTTTTCATTGTTTTACTAATGTGCAGGAAAATACAACCCATATTCATGTCAGAGCTAAACTCATAGGTTAGTGATGTGAGCAGCTTCTTTGTTGAAATAGATAGGATTGATAGTAATGAAGCATTTATTCACAGTAAAATTTATAAGAAACGTGCATATGAACACACTGATTTTGGAAGAGCCCATTGTTAAACACTTACGCATATACCATTGTTTGAGCAGCACACCCCTGCTTTTCTTCCCTCTGTTTCAACCTTCCCATCATTAAAAGCTTTTGCAATTTAGTTTTTTCTTTCTGTTTTGAAGTTTCTCTGCCTCTTACAATGTATAATCTTTTAAGCCAATGTCATGTTCACAATTGTACCTTCCCTTTCCTCCCCACCCCCCGGTTCTGAGGTTTTTCTCCCCCTTCTTGGAGGTATTTTTTGCTCCATACTCTGGTTCATTTCCATTTTGCTTCTGTTTTTGACTAAAAACATAATCCCTACCTTCATCCTACTCTGTAACTTGGCCTGTACAATAAAAAATATATATACTAGGCTTTGAGAAATTCTGCATGGTGATTCTTCTTAGTAGTACCTACACCGAACTAGTTTCTAGCTTGCTAGCATCCTCCTCTGTAAGAGTGAGTCAAATTGTGTGCCTTGCAAAGGGACCAGCTCCCGTATCTTTGATGCTCATTGTCACAAGCTGTTGACAGTCTCCTTTTTCTCTCATACTTTCTATGGTCCTAAGAATCCTTGGTGGTAGGAAGGGCCAAGATAAACCAAGTTGAGGTTATATCCTACGACAACTGCTCTAATCCTAGTCCAACTCACAAACACCACCAGAACAACAGGACCTACTCTCTCCCCGTTTGGAGGCCCACCTAAACAGCAGTGGTGCTTGTGTTTAGAGAAGGCAAAATTAATCCACTTTCTGCAGTCAATTTACCAGGCTATATCAGCAGGAGAGGTTGTAGGACTCCACAGCTCTCAAGAAGCGCTTAGCAAATAGATTGGATTCACATGTTCATATAAAATAAACACACACACTAGAACTTCTTCCTTTTTACTTTAACGTATCTAGTTTGCCACTTTGTTCCTTAACTGAGATGAAATTTAGGGTGAGATTTAGACAAACAGAAAGAATGGAGAAGAAATACTGGAAGGACATGTGTGGTAAATTTGGGGTTCAATGGCCATTTTAGGCATGTCCTTCTGTATCATTCTATTACCATGATGTTATGATATTTGCTAATATATGTATCTCGTTATAAAATTAGTTAATGTATGGGCACTCAGAGTAGGGCTTGACATGTAGTGTGCATTCAGTGATTGTATCAGTTGAGGTAGAATGGGATACGCTGCTTGAGCAAGCAAACCGCCAAATCTCAGGGACTTAACACAATACGGGGTCATTCCCTTCTCACATGGCAGTCTGATGTGCATTGGGAGCTCTTGCAAAGGCAAGAGACTGAAGACCCAGGTTGTTCCCAGCTACTCCCTCTGAAACATGTGGCTTCCAAGGTCACTTTGGAGAGCACAGAGGATTGTCTGAGATGATTTGTAAGGACTGGCATAGAAATGACTTACTTCATTTCTCCCCACATCCTGTGGGCCAAAACCTAGTCATATGGCCAACTTAACCACAGGTAAAACTGGGAGCAATAGCAGAAAACACAGAGTGTTGTTTAGACTGCCTAACTCCGCCACCAAAAGCACTACTTATAGTAAGAATAGAAATATATATATATGTATATCAATACATATAGATTCCTATTGCAGCAGGTTTGCTTCCAGAACACAGGTGTCATGAAAACCACCCCCTAAAAGCCAAAATGGGAAAGAAAAAGACCCATATCAACATTGTCACCATTGGACACGTAGATTCGAGCAGGTCCACCACTATTAGCCATCCAATCTACACATGTGGTGGCATCAAAAAGAACCACTGAAAAATTTGAGAAGGAGGCTGCTGAGATGGGAAAGGGCTTCTTCCACTGTTGGGTGTTGGATAAACTGAAGGCTGAGTGTGAATGTGATATTACTTACCATTGATACCTCCCTGTGGAAATTGGAGACCAGCAAGTGACTATCGCTGATGCCTCAGGCCAGAGAGACTTTATCAAAAACCCGATTACAGGGACATATCGGGTTGTCTGTGTTGTCCTGATTATTGCTGCTGGTGTTGGCAAATTTGGAGCTGGTATCTCCAAGAACGGACAGACCATGCCCTTCCGCCTTACACACAGGGTGTGAAACAACTAATTGTTGGTGTTAACAAAATGGATTCCACTGAGCCATCCTATAGCCAGAAGAGATAGGAGGAAATAATTAAGGAAATTAGCACATACATTAAGAAAACTGGCTACAATCCAGCCAGGATAGTATTTGTGTCAGTGTCTGTTTGGAATGGGGAGAATGTGGACTTTGAATGTCCAAGCATAGGAGAAGATGGGTGTCCCAGCTCCCAGGGGGAGAAAGGGGGAGGGGAAGAGAGAGACAGAGGGTATTTTCCTTTCCTCTGCCTTTTTGTTCTGTCCAGGAACTCGGTGACTGGATGGTGCCTGCCCACATTGAGTGAGGGAAGATCTCCCTTACTCAGTCCCTGCTTCAAAAACCAGTCTCTTTCAGAAGCATCCTCTTGGATACACCCAGAAGTAATGCTTTACCAGCTGTCATGTTATCTCTTAATCCAGTCAAGTTGACGCATAAAATTAACCACCACACTCTATAATGGGAGAATGACTTAATTTTATTTTTCATACTGAGAGAACCACCAAAATGGCAACAGTTGCTTCCCAGAAACCAACTAAATGAAGGTGTACCGTTAAAATTAAGTTTATTTAAATAAATGCAATAGATAGATAGATGCATAGATAGATATAGATATAGATGTTTTTGAGATGGAGTCTTGCTCTGTTGCCCAGGCTAGAGTACAATGGTTTGATCTCATCCCACTGCAACCTCCGCCTCCTGGGTTCAAGTAATGCTTCTGCCTCAGCCTCCTGAGTAGCTGGGATTACAAGCACACACCATCACACCTGGCTACTTTTTGTATTTTTAGTAGAGACAGGGTTTCACCATGTTGGCCAGGATGGTCTCGAACTCCTGACCTCAAGTGATCCACCTGCCTCGGCCTCCCAAAGTGGTGGGATTACAGGAGTGAGCCACCACGCCCAGCCCAAGAAATGCAATATTTATTATGCACTTGAGTTTGCAGTCTGAAAGTTGAGAATTTGTTCCATTAAAACATATTGTCTGTTCAGAGAGAATAAAAGAGATGGAAGTGTTTTTAATTTTCAGAACTGTTTCATGTAAGTGTTAATAAAGCCTCACTGTTTGAAAGCACTGGAAGAAAAGGTTATCATGAGATACAGTCTTCTGTATGTTAGATTGCAACATAGAGATCTGTTTGATAAAGGGTGGACTTGAAAATGAGTCCTACTTCATTAGCAAAGAAGTCACCAGAATTACCGTGCTCTTGCGCTCACCCTCCCGGTACCTCAGGACTACAGGTTTAGAGCTTCCAGTTCCACTAGAGCACAGTGTAGACAATGTGGTTTCCTAATACAAAGTTTTCAGCAAAATGTAATAAAAATGCGATGTTAATTGTATACGTTGTATAATACGAATACAAAATACAGTGTTCCGCTTTGTACTTTTTTAAGTTCAGAGAAATGTAATCATTTTCTCAAGATCACAAAGTAGGTTGGTGGTATTGTTAGATGTTCTGTGAGTTTTGAGCTGGATTTTAAGGGATGAATGTGAGATTTAGATAGATGAAAGGTGAAAAGGCATCTCAGAAGAGAGAGTGGTGAGAATAAAGGTGCAGAAGAAAGAAAACCATTTGCCAAGTATGCTTAGGGCTCAATAAGCAAACCATTTGACCAGATGAGTAGTGGGAGAGAAGACTGGAGTGTAGGTCCAGAACAGATCACAGAGTGCTGTGAATGATGTCACATTACGTTTGGATTTGTTTTGAAAGGTAATGTATGCATAATTTCTTTGCAGGGAAGCACTGTAATCCAAATAGGAGGTTGCTCTACCAGTGGATGTAGTGTTGGTTATAGGTGGAAGACTAAAACCAGAAGGCCTGTTAGGAGGGCAATGCATTTATCCGAGTGTATTTTGACGTGGATTACTATCATGGAGTCAACAATGACGCTGAGGTTTTGAGCTTACATTGCTGAGTTTTCACTTTCTCATGTTAAGGCTGAAAGATATTTTTTCAGAATGAAACTTTGAGGTCCTGCTTCTTTTTCCTTTCTTTTTTTGAAAGCATCCATTCTATCTTGATTGCCAGAACATTCATCCTTCCTTTATTCCAGCAGTGTCTGTGCCAGTGGTGGAGGCACCGATATCTACATGGACCATTCTGTAGGATGCTTTGATGAGTTGTTTTTTTCTACTTAGCCCCCAGCTCGGGTCCTTCAACCCTTCCAGAGATTCTGTGAGCT